GCTTAGTGAGGAAGGCATGTCAAAAGCTGAGACAGGCCAGAAACTAGCCTTCTTGCACCACACAGTTAGCTAAGTTGTGAATGCAAAGAAAAAGTTCTTGTAAGAAATTTTAAGTGCTACTCTAGTGAACACACAAATGATAGGAAGTGAAACAGCCTTACTGCTGATACGGAGAAGTTTTAGTGGTGTGGATAGAAGATCAAACCAACCACAACATTCCCTTAAACCAAAGCCTAATCCAGAGCAACACCCTAACTCTCTTCAGTTCTATGAAGGTTGAGAGAGCTGAGGAAGCTGCAGAGGAAATGTCTGAAGCTGGAAGTTGGTTCATGAGGTTTCAGGAAAGAAGCCATCTCCAAAAGACAAGTGCAAGGTGAAGCAACATGTGCCGATGTAGAAGCTGCAGCAGTTATCCAGATCTAGCTAACTAATCAATGTGGCTCCATTAAACAACAGATATTCAATGTAGATGAAACAGCTGGAAAATGCCATCTAGGACTTTCATAGCTAGAAAGGAGAAGTCAATGCCTGGCTTTAAAGCTTCAAAGGACAGGCTGACTCCCTCTGCTCTGCTTGTGCCCTATACATGGAATAAAGCCTAGATAACTGCACATCTGTTTACAACATGGTTTACTGAATATGTTAAGTCCACTGTTTAAGACCTGCTGCTCAGAAAAAAGATTCCTTTCAATATATTACTGTTCATCAACAAAGCACATGGTCACCCAAGAGCTCCGATGGAGATGTACAATGAGATTAATGTTTTCATGCCTGCTAATTCAACATCCATTCTGTAGCCCATGGATCAAGGGAGTAATGATGACTTTCAGGTTTTATTTAAGAAATACACTTCATAAGGCTATAGCTGCCATAGACAGTGATTCCTCTGATGGATCTGGGCAAAGTAAATTGAAAACCTTCTGAAAGGATTTACCATTCTCAATGTCATTAATAACTGCAAATGGAAATTATCACAATACAGTGAATCACTTATTCCCAAGAAGACTGAAACTAGAGCTGGGAGGTCATGAAGAGGTTGCCTTATGCTCATCCCACCTCCAAACTTTTGAACAAGGTATGATACCACATCCTAAACTTCACTTTCTCTTCACCATGGCAATGAGGCCACATGAACTCTTCATCCTGAAAGGTGTCACTCTAGTCTGTATCTTTCATTTGCATAGAGGACCTAAGTGAGGTTTAAATTCTTGGACTTTCACACTTAACTACAGAGCAGTGATTTTTAACCAGTGTACCACAAGAATTTTTTTAAAAAATCTTTATTGTTGAATGTATTACAGATGTTCCTCACTTTCCCCCCATTGACTCCCCCCTCCCCACTCCCGCCCCCCTCCTGCCTTTTCCCACACTATTGTCTGTGTCCACTGGCTATGCATATAAGTTCTTTGGTTTATTTCTTCCCACTCCCCAACCCCGTTCCCTTTGAGGTTTGTCAGTCTAGCAATGAATTTGTACTTCTTAATCCCTTCACCTTTTTCACCCATTCCCCCAAACCCCCTCCCATCTGGCAACCAACAAAATGTTCTCTGAATCTATGAGAATGTTTTTGTTCTGCCTGTTCATTTTGTTTGTAGATTCCATTGTCGATAGATATGTATTCATTGCCACTTTGTTTGTTCATACATTTTATCTTTTTCTTCAAAAAGACCCTTCATCATTTCATATAATAACGGTTTGATGGTGATGAACTCCTTTAACTTTTTCTTGTCTGGGAAACTCTTTATATGGCCATCAATTCTAAATGACAGCTTTACAGGATAGAGTAATCTTGGTTGTACGTTCTTGCTTTTCATCACTCTGAATATTTCTTGACACAGCCTTCTGGCCTGCAAAGTTTCTTTTGAGAAATCAGCTGACAGTCTTATGGGAACTCCCTTGTAGGTAACTAACTGCTTTTCTCTTGCTGCTTTTAATATTCTGTTTGTCTTGAACCTTTTGCATTTTGATGATGATGTGTCTTGGTGTGGGCCTCTTGGGCTTCATCTTGTTTGAGACTCTCTGTGCTTCCTGGACTTGTATGTCTGTTTCCTTCACTAAGTTAGGAAAGTTTTCTGCCATTATTGTTTCAAACAGGTTTTCAAGTTCTTGTTCTCTCTCTTCTCCTTCTGGCATCCCCAAGATGCGAATGTTGGCACGCTTGAAGTTGTCCCAGAGGCTCCTTACACTCTCATTTTTTTTGGATTCTTTTTTCTTTTTGCTGTTCTGATTGGGCGTTTTTTGCTTCCTTATATTCCAAATCAATGGTTTGATTCTTGGAGTTAAGTACTCTACTATTGAGTCTGTGTAAATTATTCTTTATTTCAGTTAATTCCTCCTTCATTTCTGACTGTGCATCCATCATTTCTGACTGGTCCTTTTTTATGCTCTTGAGGCCCTCACTAAGTTAATTGAGCATCCTTATTAGCAGTATTTTGAACTCAGCATCTGTTAGGTTGCTTATCTTCATTTCGCTTAGTTCTTTTCTTGGGGTTTTGTTCTGTTCTTTCATTTGGGACCTGTTTCTTTGTCTTCTCATTTTGGCTGCCTCTCTGTTTGTTCTGTGTATTACTGAATGAGAGGTATGGGACTAGCTGAGACCAGATGCTGCTTGTTTGAAAGAATTTAGGAAAACCTGAAGCAGGATCCAAGACAGGCCAATCCTATGGTTAAGCAACTGGCAACAGCTTTGGTAGGCTTGAAAGTTGGGTGGGGCGGGGCCTCAGAGAATCACCAGGGCAGGGCAACCAGTGTGAGCCAGGTTGCTGGAGTCCCAGCTATGGTGGGTGTCTGTTGCCCCAGGGAAGGGCTCAGCAAAGGAACAAAGGCCTCTGACAGCACGTTAGTCCCAGAGAAAGCCCCCTCTCCAGCCCTTGCTCCAATGCCAAACAGCTCAGTTCTTCCCTGTATGTCTCTGGTGCCCCTCGATCTGCCTCCCCTCCAAGCTGAGAGGGAGTGAGTTCGATAAGTTCATGCGTGGGCCTTTTAAGGAGCTGCCTAGGGCTCTAGCTGCTTCAGTTTCCCCGAGCCTCAGTTCCCACTGGTTTTTCCAACCAGAAGTTATGGGGACTTCTCTTCCTGGCACTGGCACACTGAGCAGGGCACCTGGTGTGGGACGGGGACCCCTCAGTCCTCAGGAAGGACCTTCCCAGCCGAGGCATCCTCCTGATTTTTATCCGCCACACGTGGGTGTGGGACCAGCCCGTCTGCTTCAGCCCGTCTGCTTCCGCCCCTCCGCTTCCGCCCCTCCTACCAGTCTCGATGTGGCTGCTGCTTTAATTTTGTAGTTGTGGGACTTCCATTCAGCTTGATTTCAGGCGGCTTTGAATGATGGTTTTCTGTACTTTAGTTGTAACTTTGATGTGGTTGTGGGAGGACGTGATACCGCATTTACCTACCTGCCATCTTGACCGGAAGTCTCACAAGAATTTTTAAAACATGCAATACCTGACTGTTTAGTCAGGGGCACTGACCTCTTTTCCCTTAGACTCTCAAATAAAAAAAATGACACAATAACCATCTGGTGTAAATGAATCAAAATTATACCCTTTTTTTTTTTTTTTTGTCAGATAGGCAAAAAATATATTTTTTGGTGTGCTGAAGAATTTTGGTAATTAGTTTGTGTGTGCCAAGAGATTAAAAAGATTGAAAATCACTGACAAAGAAACACATCCCAGAACCTGCTTACCTCAGAACCTCACTACCCAACCTAATCATCCTTTTTAACTAGTCATCCTACCGTGTTAGACAGCCAATAGGAAAAGTTTCCTTTATTACAAAATATGATGTTTTTTGCCTTTATAATCCCTGCCTTTCTTCATTCTCACTGGAGGGCAAACTGAGTTGCTACCTGAATCTGCCTCTCCCAAATTTGAATTCTGTAAGATCCCATATGAACTTTGCATTGCTACAATCTCAGGAAAAAATTTTAATGGATGAGGCCTGGGCTGTTTTGGCTCAGCGGTTAGAGCTTCGGCCTGCGGTCCAGAGAGACCTGGGTTCGGTTCCTGCTAAGGGCATGTACCTCGGTTGCAGTTTGTCCCCGGCCCTGGTTGGGTCAACCACTTGATGTGTCCCTTTCACGTCGATGTTTCTCTCTCTCTTTCTCTCTCTCTCTCCCCCTCCCTCCCTCCCACTCTATCTAAACAAAAAACAAAAAAATGTCTCGGGTGAGAATAAAAAAAAACCAAAAACTTTAATGGATGAGGAATTGCTTCAGATAATGGAGAAAATAAAATGGAACTAGCTTTGCTTAGAGAACCATGTAAAATGGAGTTGGAGGCCACCGAGGAAGTGGGCCTAGAATCCTGCCTTGGTTCTCAGAGCTGCGACTAAATTGGAAATCTATTGCTAAACTCTGCTCAAGGATGAACCATAGACATCCTGAACAACTGTTTTGTGGACATATATGGACTACTATCTCCTTGTAGTTTTCACCTCCCTCCTTTGCATGCCGGAACTAATCCACCCGTTAACCTAGCCAACACCCTTCATTTGCATGAAGAACCTAAATGGGAACTGAGCTAGTGGTTTTTTATAAACCCTGCCTTTGTTCTCTTTAGTTCAATTTGGGTTGCTACTTGATTCTGCGCCTCCTGGATTGCAATCCTTTTTGCCCCTATAAATGCTTTTTCTTTTTCATTATGGCCTAAACCTATTCTTTGGTTAACACTTTTTTTTTTCTCCCCCAATATCTCTCCACTTTATTAAGGTTAACCAACATGGTATTTATGTTTCTCAACATTCACTGTAAGTTTTCAGTGATATTTGGATTCTGAATTATCTTTCCATAATTAAGTAAATATAGGCACATTGGTTTGTATTTACAGAAAACACTTAGCTTTAGGTCACAAACAGAAATGAGTATAATTTGCAAATGTTACAAAGATGATTTCAAATCTCAGCTAACCTCTTTTCCAAACTTCAATCACTTGTTTAGTCATTAATGAAGATAACAGACCAAAAACAAATGCTTAAATGTATCACGTGTGAGTTTCTGGTGACTAAGAAATCCTTGAAAAAGCATTAAACTGTGATTATTGAAAAGCTCAAGACACTGGCAAGGCTTAATTGCAAAGTATTTAACAGAAGGCCACAAATTTTATTTTCCTAAGAGGAACTAGGAACTATAAGTGTCATTTAGTAATGCGCTGAAATGGCATTGCCTTGTGTGAGTGTTGCACAGAAACTCCAGGTCACCGTTTCTTGATCTACTTCGGATAAGTTTCCACTATCATAGCATGGCCCTGCCCTCCAGTTGCACACACAGCCACTAAACCAAACTGGCCTCCTTCTTTTCGTAATCTGTTGTCAGCTGCCATGACCAACCGACAGCCAGCGGCTCCAAATGGGTGTCCCAGGAACAGCGATCCACCCCGGTTGTTAAACTTCTCTAAAGGAGGCGCTCCAACCTTAGTTTTTCTACCCATGTAGTTTTGTGCAAACCAATCAGAATCCATGGCTTTAAAATTAGCCAAAATCTGACCGGAGAACACTTCATGAAATTCAAAAGCATCAATATCATTCATTGTTAATCCTGCCTTTTCTAGAACTTTTAAAATAGCATATGTTGGTCCGAGCAAAAGTTGATCTTTTGGATCTTGAGACACATACACAAACTCCCTCAAATATGCCTTCAGCTTATAACCCATGGCCAGAGCCTTTTCCTCTGCCATAATCAGCATTGCAGATGCACCATCAGTCAGGAAAGAAGAATTTGCGGCTGTCACTGTGCCATAGGGCTTGATGAATGCAGGTTTTAGTTTGGCTCTCTGCTCCAGGGAGGAAGGACGAATGCCATTATCTTTGGTAACTGTATCTTTTCCTGGTACTTTGAAGGGTACAACATCAGAAAGCAGACCTTCATCCTGTGCCTTCTTGGCCAGGCTATGCGAACGCAGTGCATACTCATCCTGTTCCAGCCAAGAAACTGCAAAGGCAGCAGCCAGTCGGTCTGCAGAGTGCTCCATGGTCTCACTGGTGGAGAACTTGGCCATTGCAGGGAACTCAGGTGCTAGGAAATTCAATCTGAATTTAGAGATTAAAGATAGTCACTGACCCAGAGTCTTGGCCTTATTGAGCTCAAGCATCATTTTCCTTATTTTCTTTGAATGACAAATAGGGACATCAGACATTAATTCTACACCACCTGCCATGATCAATCACATCAGGCTGGCCAGAAGCAATCAATCCAAAACCTGTGGTCATGGCTTGATTGGCAGAGATGTAAGCCATGGTGACAGTGAGCAGGAGTCTTGTCAGAGAAGCCAGCTCCAAGGGCAACCTCTCTAGCCACATTGCTTGTTTTCACTTCCTGTATAACTGTACCAAAGATGATATAATCAACAACTTCCTTTGGAACATTGGTCCGATGCAATAAACCTGAAAGTGCCGCTCTAGCCAAATCATGTGGCATTAGGTCTTTATATGAAGTGCCTGACAGCAAAAATGGAATGCGAACATCATCCACCACCACGACATTTCTCACATTGGGTTTTGCCAAGGTTTTCTTTGATTTAGTCTGGGCAGCTGGGAGGAATGGCTCAGAGGTCTTATAGAAAATCTGAGGGCCCAGTTTGATGTACTGGGAAGGTTTTTAAAAGTGTAAGATGGAAATCATTTTGCAATCTGCGTTCACATCCGCCAAGGTCCCCGCTGTTGGAAAGGTTTGGGCCCAAAATCTGGTTAACACTTCTTATGGATGAGCAAAGAAAGTGGTTTCTTGAGATGAAATCTACTCTTGGTGATGATGCTGTGAGGAATGTTGAGATGACAACAAAGGATTTAGAATATTACATAAGTTTAGTTGATAAAACAATGGCAGAGTTTGAGAGGAATGGCTCCAAATTTGTTAAGAAGTTCTACTATGAGTAAAACTCTATCAAACAGCCTCTCATGCTACAGAGAAATCATTTGGGAAAAGAAGAGTCAACCGACGTGGCAAATGTCACCGTTGTCTTATTTTATATTAGCACAGCTACCTCAACCTTTAGCAACTACCATCCTGATCAGTCAGTAGCCTTCAACATTGATGCAAGACCTTCCACCAGACAAAGATTATGGTTTGCTAAAGAATCAGATGATGGTTAGCATTTTAAAGCAACAAAGTATTTACAAATTAAGGTATGTACTTTTTTTAGACAATGCTATTGCACACTTAATAGACTATAGTTCAGCGTAAACATGACTTTTGTATGCACTGGGAAACCAAAAATTCGTGAGACTCACTCTATTGGAGTGGTCTGTAACTGAACCCAAAATATCTCTAATGTATACCTGTATATGTTAATGAAAATAATTCAAAAAGCAGTGACTACAGCCCTGGCTGGTGTGGTTAGAGCGCTGGCCTTTGGACTAAAGGGTCGCAGGTTCAATTCCCAGTCAAAGGCACATGCCTGGATTGTAGATTCTATCCTTGGCCCTGGTCGGGGCATGTGTGGGAGGCAACCAATCGATGTGTCTCTCTCACACTGATGTTCCTCTCCTCCCTCCTCCCCCCTTCTACTCTCTCTAAAAGTCAATGGAAAAAATATCCTTGGGTGAGGATTATTAATTTTTAAAAATACTTTTCTTTATTTATTTTAGAAAGAGAAGAAGGGAAAGGAGAGAGAGATAGAAACATCGACGAGAGAGAATATTGATCAGCTGCCTCCTACATTCCTCCCAATGGGGATCAGTCCACAACCCAGGCATGTGCCCTGACTGGGAATGGAACCGGCAAACTCTTGGTGCATGGGTCGATGCTCAACCACTGAGCCACACCAGCTAGGCTCAGGTGAGGATTATTAAAAATAAAATAAAATAAAATAAAATAAAAAGCAGTGACTGCATATTTGCATATATTAAGAAATTATTGGTACAGTCTGACTAGGGAACTGAGCACGGTGCATGCCTGCCCGACTCAGTCTTAAAATGAAGAGATTTACCAGTTTTGGAGCCTGATCTGCCTTTACCCAGGCAGAGGAGCTGAGTCATAAACCTGCCCACTACTGAGTGAAACTCCCAGCCCTGCCCAACCAGAAAGGCTGGCAAGAACACCTAGAAGCTGCATAGCCTAGGAGTGTTCGAGCAGAGTCCAAAAGGCAGAGCTGATAGTCTGCAGAGATAGCCAGTGGCCCTATTTGGCCAAGGAGGTTGGGGCACAGGTCGGCTTGAGTCTTACTTACCTTGGAGTTAGTTATCCCACTGTGAGTGGAGAGGGAACTTAATTCATAACCCTGCCCATAGCTGAAAATGGCCTTCAGCCTACCCAACCAGGGAACCTAAACAGAGAACATGGGAAGCTGTATAGCCCACCAATAGCTATGCTTACAGTGACACTTGAACAGAGAGCATAGCCAGCAGGTTTCACTGTCTGTAGAGCAAAACTGGTGGCCCATTCTGGTTAGGAAATTCAGTGAACATGTAACAGGGAATAATTACTAACCATGAAATGGGATTAGAATAAAATATATTTAACAAACTGGTAAAAGGAACTCACATATGGATAGCTTCCTTATTAACGTATTGTAGGCATTAGTATTTCCAGTTCCTGCTTATACAAAAAACAGCCTTGATCATGACTTCAGTTGACACAGTTCGCCCCACTGCAGGAATTTGGCTAGCACTTACCAGTCCCAGTGTGCTGACATTAACAATCCATATCAACCAGCAAGGACACTGCCTACTTGTCCACAGCCCCTCCTCCTCATCCCTTTGTTCTGATTTCCCTCTCCCTTCCTATAGAAACCCCTGCCTGCACTCAGATGCTAAGATGGGCTTTGGACAGGAGTCCCCCAAATTCTTGAGATGCCAGCACTTAAATAAACTGTTTTCCCTTTTCACCAGCATCTGTCTCACTAGTTTGGTTTTTGAGGTGGCAGGCAATTGAACCTTGGTTCCAGTTACAAACCATCTTGTCTGATTTGGGTCCCCAAACAAGCTGTGCAGGCCCTAGGGCCCATCCTGCTGCCCAACCAAGGCAGAGAAACTAATTAATCATCCCACCTCCTGCTAAATATAGTACCCAGTCCCAACCATTAAGAAACCCTGATCAGGGTACCCAGGCAACCATGGAGCCCATCCCACAGCCTCACTTATGCAGGGAACCAAGTCAGCAGTTATAACCAACTATTCCCAGCCAGTGGTACCCCTTCTTCCATCGACCTCAAAGCCCAGACAGTGACCTCACCCAAAACAGACCCTGAGAGTAAGCCCCATCAGCCCAAAGGCATTACCAGCAGACATGTCCAGAAACCCAAACTGAGACAAAGAACTTTCTCTGTCAAAGCAAACCTGTAAAGTCTGGAAAAGGAGACTGCTTATTCAAATGTACATATACCAAAGTAAGGAATCACACACAGATCACCAAAACAAAAACAAAACAACTAGTAACAATGACACCACCAAAGAAAACTAATAAAGTTTCAATAAGTAACTCCAAAGAAGTGGATATCTAGGAACTGTCAAATAATTCAGAATAATAATCCTCTGAAAGTTTAGTAAACAAGAACAGACACAAAGACAACTAGGTGAAATCAGGAAAACAATGCATGAACAAACAGAAAAGTTCAACAAAGAAATAGAAACCATCAAAAACAAAACAGATTTGGCCCTGGCCAGTTTTGCTCAGTGGTTAGAGCATCGATCCATGGACCAGAGAGTCCTGGGTTCAGTTCCTACTGAGGGCACATACCTCAGTTACAGTTTGTTCCCGGCCATGGTTGGGGTTGTGTGTGGGGCAACCACTCGATGTGTCTCTCTCTCTCTCACGTTGATGTTTCTCTCTCTCTCCCTCCCGCTCTATCTGAAGATAAATGCAAAAAGGTCCTCAGGTGAGGCTAAAAACAAAACAAAACAAAAAACAACACAGATTCAGCTGAGGGTTACAACCCAAAGTTCATCAAATAACTGAGACTAATAGCCTCCAGGAAAAAGCTAGAGGATAACTGAACCTCTCCTGGGCTTGCAAATAAACCCGGGAAAATAAGACATGGCAGTGGTATTTAACATGGGTCCTCCCATACTCACCCAAACCCAGAAGAAGAAGCCACAATCAGCAGAACACGAACACCCACAGGGAAAATTTGGCAGGCTCCAAAACCAAATGAGACAGCCAAAATGGTGAAATAAAGAAACAAATCCCAAATAAAAGAACAAAAGAACTCCACTGAAGAAGAGAGAAATGAAATGTAGTTAAGCAAGTTATCAGAGGTAGAGTTCAGAGCAATGATAATGAGGAAGCTCAATAGCATGAGTAAAGAGCTCAACAGCATTAAAAGATATAGAAACACTGAAAACCAACCAAATGGAAATAAAGAACACACTGGAAGAAATAACTAGCAGAGTAGAAGAAGCTAAGGACCAGATCAGTGAATTAAAAGACAGGGTAGAAAAAAAAATCACCTAATCAAAAAACCAAAAAGAGAAAACAATTAAAAAACAGGAAGACAGCCTAAGAGAAGTTGGGACAACTTGAAACATAACAACATCCACATCAGAGGAGTTCCAGAAGAAGAAGAAAATGAGCAAGGGTTAAAGGATATATTTTAAGAAATATGACAGAAAACTTCCCAAACTTGGTGAAGGAAAAAGGCATTCAAGTTCAAGAAGCACAGAGAGCCCCAAGTAAGAAGAACCCAAACAGGCACACACCAAACACATAATAATTAAAATGCCAAAAATTAAAGACACAGAGAATCATAAAGGTAGCAAGAGGTAAGCAACAGGTTACCTACAAAGGAACCCCCATAAGATTATCAGCTGACTTCTCAACAGAAACACTACAGGCCAGAAGGGAGTGGCACAAAGTAATCAAGGTAATGAAAAACAAGGATCTGAATCCTAGACTACTCTATCCAGCAAGACTATCATTCAAAATAGAAGGTGAAATAAAGAGCTTCCCAGACCAAAAAAAAAAAAAAGGGGGGGGGGGGCTAAGGGAATATATTAGCACCAAACCAGCACTTCAATGTTAAAAGGACTGCTGTAATTAGTAGAAGAAATAGGAAAAAAAAAAAATATATATATATATATATATAACCACAATAAACAAAAATGGCACAAAAACAAAACAAACATAAACCCCACAGCTGAAAAATACAGTGACTAGAGTGAAGAATTCAATATATAACTTCATAAGCAAATGACCATGAGAAGAATCTGTGACCTAGAAGATACAACATTTGAAATCAGTCAGTTAGAGGAGCAGAAAGAAAAAATAAAAAAGAGTGAAGAAAGCTGATGGAATGCATAGAACACAATCAAAAGAAACAATATCCACATTATAGGAATTCCAGGACGAGAGAGAAAAAATCAATTATATTTAAAGCAATGATGGCTGAAAACATCTCATTTCTGGAGGGAGAAATAAATATCCAGATCCACGAGGCCCAATGGACCCCAAATAGTTTAAACTCAAATAGGGTTACACAGAGACAAATTACAGTCAAGCATTGTTTAATGGTGGTAATACATTCTGAGAAATGTCGTCAGGCAATTTCATTGGGTGAACATTACAAGATTTACTTACACAAACCTAACTGTTATAGCCTACTACTCATCTAGACTATATGGGATAGCTTATTGTTCCTAGGCCACAAGCCTGTACAGCATGTTATTGTACAAAACATGAGATTAAATCAAAGCACAAGAGAAAATGAGGTGATCAAGAGACTCAGTAAACACAAGATATGAAGCTTCTGCCAGCTACTGACACACATTTTACAGAAAGCTTTTTTTAATAAGCAGAAAGAGTATACTCTAAAACAGCAGTATAGTGTAGTAAATAAACTAATAACAGTCATTTATTATCATTACCAAGTATTATGTACTGTATATAATTCTATGTACTGTATATTTTTTTTCTTTTTAATCCTCACCTGAGGATATTTTTCCATTTATCTTCAGAAAGAATGAGAGCGAGGGAGGAAGGAAGAGAGAGAGAGAAACATCGATGTGAGAGAGACACATCGACTGGTTGCCTCCTGTACAACCCTGACCAGGGTCGGGGATGAACCACAACTGAGGTATGTGCCCTTGACTAGAATCGAATCAGCAACTCTTTGGTCCTCTGACTGATGTGCTAACCACTGAGCAAACTGGCCAGGGTTATACTATATTTTTATACAGTTGGCAGTGCAGTGGGTTTGTTTACAGCAGCATCACCATAAATGCGTGAATAATGTGATGTGCTATGATGTTATGAGAGCTGTGAGATAATTAGGTAACAGGAATTTTTCAACTCTATTATAATCTTATGGGACATCATAAATGTAGTCTGTTGTTGAATCAAATGTTATTATGCAATGTATGACTGTATTAAATTATCAACAAAAACAAAGAAAGAATTTTGAAAGCAGTAAGAGAAAAAAAGAGAAATTACATACAAGGGAACCCCCCCCCCCAGCCCATAAGACTGTTGAAAGATTTCTCAACAGAAATGTTTCATGCCAGGAAACAATGGGATGACATACTCAAAATACTGGGGAAAAACAATACCTGCCAACCACAAATTCTATACCTGGCACAGCTATCCTTTAGAGAGACAGACTTTCCTGAACAAGAACTGAGGAGTTCATCACCACTAGATCTGCTTTACAAGAAATGCTAAAGGATGTTATTTGAGTAAAAGAATGCTAATTAACATCATAAGAACATAAGGAGGTAATATAAAACTCACTGATAATGGTAAATATAGAGTCAAAGCAAAATTCTGAAACATGGCACTGGTAGTGCATAATACACTTATAACCCTTGTTTAAAAGTTAAAAAACAAATGTAGTAAAAATAACCACAACTACAATACTCTGTTGTTAACTACACAATATAAAAAATTGTTAACTGTAACATGAATAGCTTAAAATGTGAGAATAGATGAAAAAGTGTCAAGTTTAGAATTCTATTGAAGTTAACTTGTTTCAGTTTAAAATAGTGTTATAATTTTAAGATATTTAAGTAAGTCTCATGGTAACCATAAGGGGAAACGCTGTAGTACTTACATAAAAAAATATAATAAAAAAGTCAAAGCATGCTGGTACCAAAAGACATCACAAAATACACATACACACACACAGAAACACAGCAGGATACAAAACAAGGAATAATGGGTCTACAAAAGAGCCAGAAAAATATTAACAAAGCTGGCAATAGTAAGTCTTTACTTGTCAATAATTATTTTAAATGTAAATAGGTTACATTCTCCAATTAAATTCTCCATTCAGTAGAATGGCTGAATAGATATGAAAATAAGATCCAGTGATATGCTACCTACAGCTGACTCACT